CTTGGCTAATTGTTCTGGTGTGCCAAGGTCATGGGCCCAGGCAGTGAGGCGGAAAACGTGGCCATGACGAAGATCGCCGTCTGCGGAGCGTTGATCGCAACCAGCAGCTAAGCGAACCACGCCTGTGCCTGCGTCACACGCGAAGCAGACCGATCCACCAGATTCTGAGTCGAAGAGACTGTACTGGATAACGGCGTTGTTGTCAGTATCCGCATCCCTAGCAAGCAAGGTGATGATGTAGGCCCCATCTGGTAGATCAGCAGGAATCCTTATGACGTAGCCCTCCTTCGTTTCGCCAGTCTCCCCCGGGAAAACGAACACTGGCGGATTGTCGTTTTCGTCAAGAACTTTGATGAGCACTTGAGTTGTTGCTGTGCGAACTTTGGCCCACTCTGGAGTTGACGATAGGGCAAGGTCCATCAGGAGTCCTCCGGCTAATATTCCTTCCTGGGCGTTATTTTTTGCCTCGACGATCAGTAGATATGAATCGAGGGACTCGCGGTCCAACTTCTGCTTCAGAGTTATCCTTCCAGTTCGCCGGTCAATCTGAAATGAGAGGTCGATTATTGGCGTGGCTATTAAAGAGGGAAACAAATAATTTAAGTCGAGGAAAAGAAAACATACCCTAAACTTATCCTTGTGACTTCCAAGAGAATATAGTAGTTCAGTTTTCATATCGTCGGCAGTAGCTGTAACCTGTCCAAGCCGTGTGCCAACCGCTGCATCCTCGGAAATTGTGAAGACGTGGCTTTCAGAGTCAAGATTCCGCAGAGACTCGTTGGGTTGTATGAAATAGGGTGGGTTGTCGATTATATTCTCGATGTGAATGGTCACATTCTTAGCAGTGCAGAGTTTGGTGGATTGTAGAACACAGACATGAATTAGCACGTGGAAGCTCGAGAAAGCTTCGCGGTCCAAAGGAGCTGCGACTACAAGTTCCATCGTCTGGTCAATGGAACAAGGACCGGTGGGGTTCTGCTGATGAAGATAGGCAGATCGCAGAAGAAAAGCTTGGAAATCGGAATTTGGTGGGAAACTACCGTTATTATTAGACGGGATAGCATGCTTCCCTTCAATCCCATAGATAAGTCTGGTCGTGTCCGTGGTCTGATAAGTTGAAGGAAAAGATGCCCCGAACTTAATGATACTTGTGCCTAAAGGAAGATTTTCTGGAATATGCAAGTCTGTTGGAAGGTCTAAGAGGGGCGGTTCCTGAAGTTCAGGTTTTGGTGAAAATGTGCCTTGGTGAGAGTCGGTGAAGAGGTATTCAAGTGCAGCGCGTTGCATCTTACGAGCTTGCATCGTTTCATAAATCTCAGACGGTTGACAGGATTTGTGATAGACTCGACCGCTGGAAAGATGTGAGTGTTCAATATGGATTAATTCAATTTTTAGTTCGAATGGCGAAGAGGAGACCCGTTCCCCATCCGTTGCTTCCAAAGTAACAACGACAGTGCTCCCGGGCGGACCAATATTTGAACAGGTAAGCGTGAGCAAGCCCGTTCTTGAGTCCACGTGGAAGCAGGGTTTAGCCATAGTAGTAGAAGCTATACGAATGCTAACAGATCCACTTCCATCACGATCAAGGTCCTCAGCGAAGAAACGTCCGAGTTCAAAACTGGCATCATTTCGGGACAGACTCTGGATGTATCCATCTGAGCTGACTGCCAACCATGCAGTGCATGTCTTTTCCACAAAAACCGGGTCGAATTCATTTGTATCCAAAACACGAACAATATACCTAGCAACAGTACTACGAGGATGCGGCAAACCTGAGTCCGAAACTTTCACCTTTATATGGAATTCGCCTGGCATTATTTCGGCATCCAAGGATGTTTTCAAAACCAGCTGTTCGGGATTTTCAGTCGAGAAAATAAATGGCAGCTTATTTTCCTCGTACAAAATATACAAAAGACGGGTGTTTGAGAAGTCTGGATCAAAGGCGATTACTCGCAATACTTCGCTTCCAACCGGATGGTTCTCTGGTACCGAGATTTCGGCACCATCGTTCGAAACGTAAGGATCATGCTCATTGAGATCCTCGATTGTGATTATAAATTTCGAGTCTGCCATGCTGCTCAAAAGAACATTATTCCGGTCCGCAACGCTGAACGGAATCTCAATGATGTTCCATTGCGATTCCACAAAGAGTTCGCAATCTAAGTTTTTGGTAACAATTAGGGAACCCGAATCTGTCAATTTGAAACTATGCTGAAGTGAAGAAGGTTGGTTCGAATCCAGTCTTGAAAACGTGTAGCTAGCGTTGAATGTATAAAAGTCCAAGGATGGGTTGACAATGACGATAGTTGAATTTAATATAGCAGCTTCTGAGACAGAAACCAGGATTTCGGTCGGCAAACGTATTCGGAATGAAGGATGTGGTAACAAAGGAACACTCAAAGCGTGAAGGACAAAGTCTGCCGGACTGCTCCGTATATCATGTGCTCGAAGAGTTACGGTCAAACGTGATGAAAGGGCAAGGCTTGGTAATTGATGTTTTAACCGCAAAAGCCACACCGAAGTTTCGTTCTCAGGCACAAGTTCGAACAGAGCTGCCATTTCGGGTTCTACTATATTTACATGAATTTTGTCAGGGCCGTTCCGATAGCCCGGGTAGAAGGTCCTCACGGTGGCATAGGCTGAACCAGCGGAGCCTGGAAATGGCACTTTCGTAATCTCAGTTACAGATAAATTTAACTGGTCGAAGTGTAATCGCACAATATGCACGTTGACTTTGGTCTGGCTTACTAAAGAACATGAAACGTGGGTGGACTTTCCGCGATGTTTCGCCAAAATGTAGAAAGAGTAGTCTTCCAGACCTTCAAAACGAGAAAGATACGTACGCGGACGAGAAGTAAGCTGCTCGCGAGTTCCTCGGGAAATCTGCAGACTTTTGGTTGGAAATACTACACCGGACCGAGGATCAACACGGAATGGAACAATATTTTCTTCGGGCCGCATATAATAGTAAATTTGACCACTTAAACCAGAGTCCGCATCGGTTGCCTTTACCTGACCCACAGGCGAAAATGTAGTCAAATTTTCCTGGACTGTCCAGTTGAATATATCGCGTGTGAAAAACGGGCAGTTGTCATTTTTGTCAATAACTCGGATTTTTAGCACAGTTTCGTTCATCAATTGAATTGGTTGACTGTGATTGCTCACATGGTTTGACTGGAACAATGCACGAACCTTAAAAGTGTAAGTAGACTTCTTTTTCGTATTGAAGTCTGCTGAATGAGTGGTTAAAAGTCGCAGGAAATAGAATCCACCGAGCTTGACCGTCCGCGTTTCAAATGTTTTTTTATCGTTATCACTGCCAACGATGAGAAAATTAACAGTTCCTGATGGCTGTCCATCGAAAGGTTCGGGGACACCCATGCGTGGCTCATCCGACTGCACGTACTGATTAGGTCCGTAATCGGGTAATATTGTTGCAGTATAAAGTGGTCGCACAAAGGCGAAGGGGGTGGGCGTACTTCGCAAACGCGCATGGAAATTTTCGCCAATATTCAAGGCATCCGCGGTAGCTGAGGTAGACAGCAAAGTTGATAAAATGAATAGACAGGCAAAATTGTCCATCCTTTCGACGATTTTGTCCAGAAGGACGATTGAATTCTTCGATTTCATTCAAAATGGTTCTAAGTCTGTCATCGCCGTAGATAAATAGAGGATACTCAGACCGCGCATCCGCAATGCTTGCAGAAAACACAGATTACGCGCTACAAGGTTAAGCAACACATAAAGTGAGTTATCAGTTTGAAAATATTTCAAGGTCATAGTTGTTCATTTTACAACGATTAGAGCGAACCGTAAACAGGCAATAATAGCATCCAAGTAGTAGAAGCAGCCATTAGGGAACGAGTATTTGCAGACTTAAGTTCCAGGGAACACCTGTGGTTGTTCATTTTCAGAAACTAGTGCGTTATCCATGGCCCTTTTCAAAAGGCGCCAGAACATGCTCATATTCTGCCTTTCCCTCTTACTTGTGTCCTGTGTGCCATCTATAAATGTGTCAAAAACCCCTTTGAGCATACTTTACTCACTGCCTCTCTTATTATCGTTGGAGA